ATTTGTTGGAAAGATTAGAGATGTCTTGCCTGTTGTAGATAGTTTTTGGAAAGATCTGAGTTTGTAAAAGCAAAGTTCTGACCTGATTGATGAGCTAATGGTTGGTCATAAGACCAAAGTGATTTGAAAAAAAAACTTTAATCACAATATTTAATATTTGCCAATGTAAAAGGGATGACAAAATTAAAATAAAAAAGTCTGTAATTCTGTACATTTTACAGATATTGAGCTAGAATGTACGGTAGTAGCTGAGAATCATCCCCACACATAACTAGGGATGGTTACCAGTCTTCCAGGCTGAATTTTCATCACCAACTCCAATTCCACAAACTGTGACAAAGTGGATGTAAGAATCAGTGATGTATAAGGCTTTAAGAGTCTCCAGTGGAAGAATATCCACTGCCAAACCTCAAGTTTCTCCAAGAATAGGCCATTTCTGWGGCYAAAATTGTGGTTACACATGGGGAAACTTCCAAGTGTGAGTAMATATAGGACTTAGCCTTCACGCCAAAGGTTTTCCACACCATAGTATTTAGTAGCTATTAGAGGAGGCCAATTTAATGATTAATGTTATTAAATGGGAAACTCACAAAGCCCTTTGCTGTATTTGGCCTGCAGTTTTATGATGCACTGACCAAATATTTTAAATCTGGAGAAATTATCACAARGCAGCATCAGGAGTAAATAAGCTGACTTTAGTTGAATCTGAGAAATACAGTTAGTCTAGAAATAGACATTTTAGTTTACATGGGTATATTTAGTTGAAAAGCAGAAAATGGCAAAGATAAACAAAATAAATTTGCAGGTAAGGCATTATTAAAGTCTCAAAAGTTTCAATRAAAATTTGGGAAAAGATTTAAAACGTTTGTATTTTGTATAGAGCTTTTCTTCTACAGTTTAATATATATAATTTATAGTGTTAGGGTGTGTGAAGATCAGTAATACTGCCCCTCAGCACTTCATGGTTCAATTCTCAGTTGGCTTCATTCTGAGAGGATTTTCATTTGTTTTCCCCATGTGGGATTTGGCTGTCTCCCAGAACTTGTGTTTTCATATAAAACTAAAACACAAGTATGTTCGCTGGTCACTCTTAGGCAATTTAAAAACATGCCTGCCTCAATCTTTGTGTCTCCACATTCCCCATGATGTACTATGACATGGGTGTCATACTCAAAATTTAAAACTTGGTCCAAGCTAAGAGCCATTTTCTATCAATATTTACTGAATAAGTGTTATAGAAGAAATTATTTTTTAAAGAAATTCAAATTTTTCTAATTATGTTTTATGTAGCATTTAGAACATACAGTACATAACCTAACATAATAAAAAATATTTAATTTAGAAAGACATATCATTAGCATTCACTTCTTATGACTTATACTCTATCAATAGTTTTTTTTCTTTATTATATCTTAAAGGGGCAACATCATGTAAATTCAACTTTTTTGAGTTTTATATCATGTTATAATGTTATACTC